CAGATGTGAATCAATGGCAATATCAGTGACCACAAGACTCTTTAGACTTTGGTTTTTAGCCACAAATGCAGCGAACAATTCATGATTATAAACAAATCCACGAAAATTGAACTCAAATTTGTTGAGATTCTTCACCACAGACTCATTGCCACTGAAGACATCCGACAGCTTTCCGGCCTTTAGTTGAGACAATTTGGGACAATACTTGAGATACGGTTTGCATTGAGAGATATTGCCTGAGATTCCGGTGATAACTGTCCTCAACATCTCAAACAGTGGTCTCATGTGATCATAAGAGGCATCCGTTTGTGTGAATTTGTAGTGAAATCGCTTCGGAAGCAGACAATTGTCGGCCAAACCCTGAATCGCTTCAAACATATGGATCACATTCTTGTTGTCCGCAAACCCTCGACAGTGAATGGTCTCAATATTGACACACTTTCTCATAATTTGTATCAATTTATAGCTTTCACAGTACTCTCGACCAAAAATGTTTGTTTCCATCATTTTCTCAATGAGTTTGTCATCAATAGTGATACTATAAAGGGTCTCATAAATCAATCGTTGCCACTGTTTGGACACATATTCACATCGATAGCGGTCTTCAAGTGGTAGATATGAGAGCAACACTTCCAGCAAATCATCACCGAATCGGTCCAAAGAGTCTTTTGTCTTCATTTGTGGCTATTTTTAAGTGAAAATGAAACAATAGAATGAAAAATAAAAGTGTTTTAGTGTCTAATGAATTTAATCGCTAATGAATGCATTATTGAATGTATGTCTGTGTAGTACATACATTAGTACATTAGTCTGTAGTCTGTACACCTATCTTGATGACTTTTTCCCACGCATTGTCATTACTATCGGGAAATCCATAATTGTTCGCATCTTTCAATTCATTGCTTCAACTGATGTCTAAAACAATGCCAACTCTGTAACCTTGGTGAAAAGTGTTAACACATACAACACTAGTTTTAATTGTATTATTATACACTTGAGAGTTTTTTCTATTACTAATTCAAAGATATAAACTAGTGTTGTTAGCCATGTATTAATTAGTCAAAGTGTTTCAACTTGTTAACCATATTGGCAGAAATTGGCACTGGCACATACTACAGACTCGGCTAAATGATAACAAAAAAGTAATTTTCATTCCTAAAAATGTTACCAACTTTTTACATTATATACAAAGTTATAGATATATGATACAATAAAATAAATTAATTTATAAAACTATTTATCTAAATTTAAGAATTATTATTCAAATACATTTACATTCATTTAAATTTACTTTTCTCGGCGATAGCAGTAGATAGCATATGGCTATGAATTGTGGTATCAATTAATTCATTAATATATATCTAATTATGCTTAATTGTGCTTAATTACATAACTAATTATATAACTAATTATATACTTAATTATATAACTAATAGAAGGAAGTATATTTTTCAGGAATTATAAAATTTTATGAATACCTCACAAATAATAATACTTTTTATCTACATTGTATCAAATTTGTATATAAATTATATAAGTAATTCATATAAAAGCCAATAATACAAACGCAAAGTTTGCTAAAATCTTTATTTAATTAATAGTTTACATGTAATAATTACAATTAAAATTAATTAATATACATGTTTATTGGACACCAATGGGATAACTGGGTGTAGTGGCGATACCGCACACATTACCCACATTCCTGGCTATTTTGATCGGGGGATCACCCCATTGGGCGCCCCACGAGTTCTTAATGATCCAGTAATCCTCACCACCATCTGATCCATAGCCCACATCAGTCACCGCGTAATTCAGTCCTTCCATATATAAATAAAAACAATTCTTATATATTATCTAACCCTGGTTATAATTAGTTGCAAAAAAGTTGAAATGTATTAAATACAGTAAAGCAATACATTATTAATCTTTTATAATTATATATGAATATCGACTCCATTTGTGATTAACATTTGAATTTCAATCATATTTATATTACTGTTAAATGTATTATTAATAAATTGCTTATTAATTTATAAACTTTATAAATATATTAAACTCAATAACAATATAAATTAATTAATTTTCGGCATTAATTCATAGGAAAGCAGTGAATATTCAATACGTTATTATTGATTGAAAATCGCGCGCAAAATGATCGCATGTTTTCGTGTCATATGTTTTGCTTGTGTTTTGAATGAATGACTAGTTTTGTGACCATTTGGTGTCTATTTAATTGTCAGTTCATTACAAACAAGAGGTTCATTGGACACAAGAATGGCTCACAAGAAGACAAAGACTGAGAGGAATGTGACCACAGATGAGGGCAAAGTGAGTGGACAACAGGTATTAGCCATACATTCAAACATTCACTCAATTAGTGATTAAACACTAAAACCGTTGTTTCATTTCAATACCAATTATAGCCACAAATGTATGCAAAGAACTCTTTGGACCGATTCGGTGATGATTTGTGTCAACACTTATTGTCTTATCTGCCACTCGAAGACCGTTTCCGACACGAGTGTCTCTCCAAACAGTGGCAGCGATTAATATACGAGACCATCGATGGCATCACTATTAATCGCAAACTCATGAAGAAAATGAAGACAAAAAACATTTTTGGCGAAAGTTTTATTGATTACAATATTTTGTCATTAATTACGAGAAAGTGTCCCAACATTGAGACCATTGACTGTCGAAAAGTGGGATCAGATGCGAGTGAAGTGTTTGCAGCCATCGATGAGATGCGAGACAATTGTCGACATTTAAAGACAATTCACTGCGAGTGGGAAGAAGTTGACGACAATTTGGTGCCATATTTATGTCAACTCTTTGGCCCATTGTTTGCACACATTGTTTGCTTCAAGACTTCTCTGAAACACTGTTTGACTCTTTGCCACAAATTATCTCATTTAACGACAAGGAGTTTGAATTCAGTGTTTGATGAGACGGCTAACCATTTATTGGCGAAGAATTTAACACAATTTGAGTTCACTTTCGACTCGCAGTTCACTAATGATATGTTCAACACATTTATGGCTAACAATAAGTCACTGAAAACTCTGACAATCAATAGAATCGATACTAACATTGAATCCCAAGAGACTGTCATTGGATTAATGAATCGATTGTCGGAATTACAAGAACTCCGAAAATTGGAAATATTTTTCAGATGTAGTTCCCAACCGATTACGTACTCATTGTCTGAGCCTTTGGTTGAAATTGGCTTAAAGTGTCGTAAATTGAAGAGCTTTTGTCTCAAACTGAGAGCACAAACACCACAACTCTGTGTCGAGACATTCAATTCAATACAATTTATGCCACAATTAAAAACATTAGGTTTAAGACTTCAATTACTCGACAACGAGGTACTGGGTGTCACTGATTGTGATTTACATGCATTTGATTCACTCAAACATTGGCCTAAATTAACACACCTTTCACTCAATTTATGGCAAATTCATTACAAACTGTTTCGAGAGATCGGTATAAATGTGCCAAATCTGCAAACACTGTTAATATATGATCCAAATTGTGTGATAAACGCTATTTGTTTGGATCGCATCTCAAGTCTACGTAAACTTCAATACCTAAAGATTAACAGCACTTCAGGCGTCAAACTCAATGAATCGCATTTAAAAGTGTTTGTTATAAAGTGTCGTAAATTAGAGTCAATTCAAGTCTTTAATAAAGATAAAGACGAGTCGTTTAAATACAATGGCAAACAAATCTATGAAATGCGAAATGTGTTGCCATTAAGTGATCTTCAAATTAGTATTATTTCATCTAATTATTTGAATAAATGTTAATTATTGTAAAGTTTCAAAAACTTTATTGCCAGTATGTCATACACTTTAAATATCTTACAGTAATACGAACCATTAAAATTGCCTGTATCACTTGTTTACCATGACACATATTATTAAATTATTGGACACCAATAGGATAACTGGGTGTAGTGGCGATACCGCACACATTACCCGCATTTCTAGCTATTTTCAAGTACCCCCGATCACCCCATTGGGCGCCCCACGAGTTCTTAATGATCCAGTAATCGTCACCACCATCTGATCCATAGCCCACAGCAGTCACCGCGTGATTCAGTCCTTCCATATGAGTGAAACAAACGGCGTTTCGATAGACACCTGACTTATAGAGTCGGAGCTTATTGTCCGAGGCATCCATTGCCACAGAGATGGGCCCCACTGTGGCTACCGCTCCCTTGAGGGCCAGTTCGTCGCCCGACTCCACGTTCACGAGTATTGACCGGCAACTGGTTTCCCGGTGTGAATGCCAGCGATAAGCCGGTGTTGAGTTCAGCCAATCGGTGACAGTGTTTCAGGAAATCCTTGTTTTTGTGGAAATAATTAATTTTCGTAAACATTTGGCCGAAGCGTGTAAACAGCGGACCAATGAGTCGGTCATCAGATCCATGAAAAGTGCAATAATAGTGCCGCAGATGTGGACAGTTGTCTCGTAGCGCATGTATGGCCGCAAACACCGGCCTCTCATTAGGTCTCAATTGCGAGCAATCGATGCGCTGAAGATTTGGACACTTTTTAGCGATTTGTGACAATATATTGAACTCAAAGTAATTGTCACCAAAATTGTCGGCTTTTACGATGTTTTTCATGATTTTGCGGTCAATCGTGAGCTCCGAAAGTGTGGTATAAATCAATCGCCGGAACTGTTTGGATAGACATTCATATCTGAATCGGTCCTCAAATGATAGGTAACTCAACAGGACTTCACACAAATCGTCGCCAAACCTCTCAAACGAGTCTTTGCTATAGATTTCATACATTTTTGCACAAAGTTTCTTAAATTATAAATAATTTTTACATAAGTATTAAATGAATCACTATTTTATGAAATAAATTATCGTTGAAAATAAATTAACGGATTTCTAGTCAATTGTAAATCAACTCTATTTCACAGAATATTATCTTTTAATATATTGTTTATTCAATTCATATATTTATCCCTTTTTTTATTAAAAACATAAACGGAAATATTTATAACCCTAGTTATTATCAGTAACAGTATGCTATGCTACAATCATTCAGTAGTTATTTTTATGAAATGGAAATAACATACATGTACCAGTATATAAATGTTTAAATATAAAGTTAGTAAGTAATATTTACCAACATTAAATACTTTCACTTATACTTAAGTAAATAACTAAAATCAAATACTTATACATACAAATAAAATAAAAAACAAACCCACTTGTTAAAATCATACAATTTACTCTATAAAACAAGTTAAGCTTGATAAATTATCTGAGTTTTTAGTTTTCAAATATTTCTTGACTCCGTGAGTCTGTGGCCAATAACGGTGTGAATCAATGATACGAATCTCAATGCTTTCCAATCGACGGCTTTTCGCCACAAAATCATTCAGATAGCGATCATTGAGTCGAATGCCTTGATTGCTGTGAATGGCCAGTGATTGCAATTTCGGTAGACGTGCCATACGGTCCATACAACTCCTATTCATAAGGCCCTCTGGATCTCTGACATCCAGGCGCCGCAGTTTCTTACAGTTTGTAGTAATTGTATCAATCAAATTGAAATTCATTGCCCATAAATCTAACTTCATATGAGTCATGCATTTGCTCGCAATAAATGAATCAAATACGTGGTGATCAAGCGTTTCATTATTATATGATTTAGTGGACAGTCTTAACTTCAATCGCCTTAATTGTGTTATATATTGGATGGCATTCAAGACCTGGACACTCGACTCGACCGGATTTAGATCACAAATGAGTGAAAAATATTTCAATTTCTTGCACTTTAAGCCAATTTGTGTCAAACACTCAAACTTCGAGAACTGATGGAAATGGAGCTTCAATTGTCTCAGTTCTGGTAAATCAGATAATTGTCTCATGAATTCAATAACGATATCTTCGTTGTCATTCAGATGTGAATCAATGGCAATATCAGTGACCACAAGACTCTTTAGACTTTGGTTTTTAGCCACAAATGCAGCGAACAATTCATGATTATAAACAAATCCACGAAAATTGAACTCAAATTTGTTGAGA